CGCCACCTGCTGGCAGAGAGTGAATCTGCGTCTCGTTCAGCTCCGCTTTCATGCAGATATTTTTTATGTATAGTTTCACAAAACTGAAGTCAAATCATTCTGTTTTTGCTTCAAATTTCGAAATTATACAACCTAATTTAGGTTAAAAACTGTTCATGTTTCATGTATGCATCTTTGTTTGGATCATGATTAAAATGCAGTGGTTGCCTCTCATTTTAAATGGAAAGAGCACAGACAAAGCCTTATTTAGTTTATCTGAAGAGATTTCTTTTATTTGTGTTACTTATTTGATTTGGGGCTTGTTTAAATTTAAATTTAGTTTAGATAACCAGTGTGAAGCGCTTGATTCAGCGAAGAACACAATTAACTCCATGATTTTAAACTAGTTTAAAGCCAGATGAAACAATGCTGACAAACAGGTGAAACGCTGTGCGCAACGATACAGTCAGAAGGCTTTTTTATCTACAAATCGCCATCATTTACCATGGATTTACTGTAGTAACACTATCTGCACCATGGTTTTGTGGCAGAAATGTGGGATATTCATATAGAATTATTCCTGTGATCAAAGCTGAATTTTCAGCATCATTACTCCAGTCTTCAGTGTCACATGATCCTTCAGAAATCATTCTAATATGCTGCTTTGCTGTTCAGTAACCATTTCTGATCATTATCAATGTTGTATACATTTGTGCTGCTTAATATTTTTGAGGAAACTTATTTTTTCACGATTCTCTTATTAATATTTGAAATTGTTCTTTGTGTCAGAGCGCTGGAGTTAGTCAGAAATAGAACGCAACATCCGTTTTCTGTCATGGATTTGTCATGTCGCGTCGTGCCGCATCCACAGCAGAGAACATCACTGGGTTCTATTTGCTTTTGTCAAATCGCGCCGTTTGCGTCTGGTGTGGTCTTTGTGAATCTTAAGTATATTCATCATCTGCTTTACGTACCTGGCACTGGCAGTATTTTCACAAACTTGTAACTTACATGCTTAGAGCAGAACCATGCATCGTTCATTTATATTTCTACATGGCTCCCTGCAATACAACTCTGCTTCTTCAATCGCGCCATCTAGTGGTCTGTTATTGATACAACCATGACTTCTACAACTGATAGCGGAGCGCTCAAGCGGGTACTGCGAGTCATGTTGAGGTAATTAAAATATGTCAAATTAATATTTTGCACTCAATTATTTACTTATCATGCAAGTGGGCACATGATAAGCGGGAAAATTACGCAGTGTAGTCTTTATCACCCTGCAGAGGTTTCTTTTGCTAAATAATCTGCTGACTCAGCCTTGCCGCGCCCCCCAGTTTGGGAACCACTGAGTAGGCGATTTGTGCTCTATCAATTTGGTCTGTTATGATGGTCTATGTGTTTAATTACTAATGCCTGAGCCTTGCCGCGCCCCCCAATTTGGGAACCACTGAGTAGGCTATTTGTGCTCTATCAATTTGGTCTGTTATGATGGTCTATGTGTTTAATTACTAATGCCTGTGTAGTACGGCGTTGCACACAGAGGACAAAAGCATTCAGCCTTGACTCTTTATCATCATAAGTGATAACATTTGCAAAGCGTACCAAATTGAACAAAACAATTTAAATGCAAAATTTGAATTCATGAATATGTAACGGTATCCACGGTATAGCAAAAATCCATATCATGGAACAACATAATACACCGGTATTTAGTCATGTTCATACCGGTATAGCGCCCACCCCTACCATCCACATAAAAAAAGCTAGTCTTTGATATTGACATTGGTTGTTTGGTCTAATAAGCTCAAGCATTGATAAACAACCATGAAACCTTTATTTTCTACATTAAGAGCTTACATGGAAAGTACAGTAAGTACAGTGTGTGAATATCATACAGGCATCTAAAGTGCAGATCTCCTTGACACAGTGAGATTTGCTTTTTGCATGGTTGTATTCTATAATGCAACTCACAGAGTTAGCTTGTGTCTTGGCTTGAACTGGATGTAAATCAATATGGTTTATGAAGTAATTATCAGTGTGATTAACCCTTTCTTCTTACAGGGGACATTATCTTCAATGCCAAAGACCCAGAACTGCCCCCAGACTTTATCTTCGGAGAGGATGCTGACTTCCTGCCTGAACCATCAGAACTCCCGGTGTGTATTACGATTATAATTATATGACGTCATTACCCTGCATTCTAAATATAGAGAATTTTAGATAAATATTATGTTATGGAACAGTAGTTTAGTAGACTATACAAATGTTGTAGTTATAAATAGTAGTAAGAAGACAGGAATGTACAAAAAGTTTTGTTCAACGTTAAAACAACACCCATGTAAGATGATGCATTCAGTTTAGATCTTCTCTGTACAGAGACCAAATTTAACAAAATCTGACAAATAAAAATAGTCTTGTTTTAGTGAAGTGTCTGTGCTCGCTTTACGGTCACTCTTACCCCCCACAAAAAATTTTCTCAAATCTCCAGTGAACCAAAAATGTGGTAGCTGCAGGCTAAACCTGGTTGTTCAGAAGAAATACACACAACAAGGCAGAACAATGGCTCTGTTATTATTGAATATGTTTGAAGTAGCAGTGCAACAGAGCTTTCAACTGTTTTGACTTGCTTTAGTGCGGTTAGTTAAATCAGATGGCTGGTATCGATGTGCGTGGTCGACTCAGCAGCCAAATTTGACCCGCGGGGCTTCCAGTGTTCTAAAGAGAGAGTGTTGGTGAATTACATAAGTGTTGCGTCTGCGCTTAAAAGTGTCCTTCTTCTGGTGCCGATTTTAGGATTGCACAATTAGCCACAGAGGAGGTGCTGCTGCAGAACACCCTCAAAAACAACCATCCAGATAGAAAACTCACTAGGCTTCGAAACATTCATTCGTTCTTTTTTTTTTTTTTTTTAATTAATGTTGTTGGTTTTTTTTGTTAGGGTTAGGGGGTTAGGAATATCATTTTTGGCATAAAAAAGCCACTGTGTTACTGTACTACACAAACAGTGTGCCGCATGCTTAGCATTTGTGTATTCTGTGTGGGGTCAGATTTGTTTAATTTCCAAATTAATAGATCACGATCCTCAAATAAATGCGGAGAGTTTCAATAATTAAATTAAGTTCACAAATAAACAAAATAGAATTGTCAAAGAAAAAATGACCGTAATTATATTGGCTGTAGCTAGAATGTGCTGCAATTGTTCAAAGCATTGTGTTGTTATCTGATTGGCTTGAGTAGACGGTGGGAGGAGTCCATCTATTTGTGGATTTGTGAACACATCTTGACGCTAGAAATGTTTCAAAATCTACAGAAGTATGTGGTGATTCATAAATGCAGGAAGCAATCCACAAATGTGTCCTGTGAACAGGGTTATTATAGTTAACTATAATAGTTAACTATGGTTGTTATTGTAGTTAACTATAATAACCATAAAAAAAAAATCTTACTTGGAAATAAAAATCAACTTAAAATAAAATATAACAAATATTTATTAACTTTAAAGTTATATATTTTCATTGATCTATCTATTTGTTTGCAGATTGTAACCTAATTGTTTTGGAAATATGCAACAAATCTAACCCCATAGTTATGCGTCAGAGACATAGTATAACGAACTGTTTCAGGTGCACTTGAGAAATTTCACAGACCCACAGCATTCTTGATATGTTGTTCTGCCTCTCAAATTGTGCATTGTTATAAACACTCTCCTTCCAAATGAGTGACATAATCAAATCTGTTATTACAAGCAATCCATAGGTCAGACCGAATAAGAAACCAGGCATGAGCCATTACCTTCTTTTTTTCTTGATAATTTTTATTATATCCCTGTTATAAATGAATGTTTTGTAGTCACATTGTGAGAAAAACATAGCAACAGATTCCACCGACCATTGTCATAGTTAGTGCTGTCAAACGATTAATCGCGATTAATCGCATCCAAAATAAAAGTTTTTGTTTACATAATATATATGTGTGTACTGTGTATTTTTATTATATACATATACATACAGTGGGTACGGAAAGTATTCAGACCCCCTTAAATTTTACATGTAAATATTTTCAAAATATTTACTGTAAGAGTGTGTATTTATATATACATAATAAATATACACCATAAACACACATATTATGTAAGCAAAAACTTTTATTTTGGATGTGATTAATCGCGATTAATCGTTTGACAGCACTAATTGCAGTAAATTCTATTATATTCTATTCTATTTTATTCTATTCTATTCATAGGCAAAATTTACTGGCATCTCAAATGGGCCCACCAGATTCCTCTTGTGGTGTGTTAAATTACTCAGAATTCTCATTATTAATAATAATTCATCGTATGGGTTTGTTCCTTAGAGATGAGGTTGCAAGGGAGACAGAGTTTGTGCAAGACATGGTCTAGATTCGTCTGGACTCTGTTGTTAAGACTCCTCATACCCTGATTGCTTAAAGCTGTCCTCCAGGCTATTTTGAAGGAGGAACGGAATGAAAAAATCCCCTGCTTATGTCAGAGTCTGTGAGACGGTGACTATTGCTCACCGTCTCTTGAATGCAGCTGAAAACATGTGGGGGGAAGCACCTCTTTGCTGCCAAGGCTGCACTCTGCCGATGTGTTTGCTTTGTGTTTTAGCTTCTTCGTTATGGCGGGTATGTGTGTGCAGCCATTTGGTTTCTTATCCAGGGATATTTTCTTACGCTGGTTTGCAGCCACTCTCCCTCTGTCTTGTTCTTCATCCTGTTTATTCTGCACTAAGCTGGATTTTTTTTTTTTTTTTATGTGTAACCAAACATGAATGATCCAAAATGCCTGGGGATATTAATATGCCACATCATAGGCAAACATAAAGTCTTAAAACAGGAATACATTTGTTGTATATGTTCTTATTCTGATTTGTTCATCTTATTTGCTTTCGTCCTTCCCAGACGGTTCTGCTGCTTTAATTCGGCTGTCAGTGCGTTCCATGCAAACTGATCATTTTCACATTGGCATGTGAGAGACTCAAGATCAACAATGACCTCTTGCGTCCGGATCGTTCACACCTCAATATGCAGCTGTGTTCCAAAATCTAGCGAGCTGATTTGCTGTCTACTGCCTATAAACATATTCCTTTTTCGAGACCCAGGGTGGCCTCGCAATTTGTTGTAAAAGGCAGAGCAGTAGAATAAAGAAGTTGTTCTGTTTAGTTGTGATGTATTATGCACGTTTGTGAAAAATTTAGTTTAAATAGGTTTTGTAGGTAAGGATGGTAGCATGTTGCTCCGCTAACGACAAAACAACTGTTATGTTTAATAATTCTAATTTTCACATCACCAGCGCTCAGATGCTGGACACAGGCTTGTTTTCCAGTTACATGGAATATTGCAGAGATTTCACACCGCTTTGAGGAATTTCTGATGTCTCAGCAAAGCTTGGGGTTGTTTACACTGTGTTTACGTGAATAGCTGACACCAGAAGATTTACTAAGGTGTGAAAAGAAATGTCACAAGAGTGTTTTCATAATTTCTCATTTTAAAGTCAATTAATGTAGGTTCTTTTTACTAGTTTTTAAAGTTTTTCAATTTCAAGGCATCAGTGATCTGTTACAAGATACACAAGGACAAAATGCATTTGATGCCATTGTTGTTAAACTATTGTGCACGAATGCAAATGAGACTTTTATCATATTTTAGCCAAATATGAAAGAAATGCAACGCAGTACACCGTAAACAGTAGAGATGTCCTGATGCTTCTTTGTAATTTGCTGTTAGGATTGGCATTGTAATTTATTATCCTCAAGTACGGGCACACATTACTTATAACATTATGACTAGGCAGATATTGTGTTGATACCACAGAGATCACAAGTTTGATTTGGCTAGCTGTGAAAGCACTGCATGAAACAAAATATGACTCAGCTAGCTCCAAACAGCTCTGTAGCAATTTCATTCAGACGCTTTTCATTCAAATAGCAGTCAGCACCTGAGAAGCTCAAGCCTTGGCATTTTCATGGATGAAGGTCAAAGAGTGCACTACGGTGCAGACATCTATGCCATATACAATTTTAGAAAGCATGAAGAGTCAGAATTTGTGAACAAAATTAGATAGGCCACTCATCAAAAATCAATGGGAGAAACTGTATCATTCAACAGGATGGCTGTAGGAAAGGATGTCCTGGAAAGAGACAATTACATTATACATGCTGTAATGCATTTGGCAAATGCTTTTATTCAGAGCATCTTGCATTGCATTCAATGCTGTATTCAGTGCTATTAGATTTTATTGATAATATGAAATTGTGGTCTTAACCCATTTAAATAGACAGGAGGACATACATGACTGAAGTAGCTCCCCAACATTGACCACTGAGTGGGCATTAATTGTGTGAAAACTTCAAAACATATACATTAAAATAAGGTTTTTAAAATTGCAATGCAGTTTGTCCATCATTAGCTGGAGAACCATAGAGATTCATTGTCAGACTAGCCACAGCCAATCCTGTAGACTAATGTAACATTGACCCAAAGTGATTCAGCATGCTGTGAAGAGGGCCAAAAAGGATACTTTATTCCAGTCTTACTTAATTTCTATAACCAGACCATTCACTTGCACAACTTGGCAGAAAATGTATGATTAAGTGACGGTGCTTCCCTGAATGTACCTCTGGGATCAGGAAGCCAGACCTCAATTAGCACTTAAGGAAAGACACTACAGGCAAAAATTGTATTTTATTGCACTTTATCTATTTGCTTCTGTAGATTTTAATTACAATACAATTACAATCCTTAGACTAAAAATCCAATGTTTTGTTGTAACTAAATTGTTATATTTTCATTTGATAACATTTTAAAATCTGACTAAATTGTTAATGTTTTATTAACTCGTTTCGTTAGACATCATTTTTTTATGATACATTTGTATTCAAATCAAAAAACTCTAAATCCAGAAAAAATACAATGAAAAACGCAGCATTTAGGGGAAAATAAAATGGATTTCACGTTGCTAGTTTTATGTGAGGCTCAGACCAAAATGTAACTTGTATTTGTTTGTGTACGTTAAAATATGGTGCATAAAGACAAGGCATCAGTAGGCGCGTTTCCATTACCCTTCAAATTGCGCAAATTGAAATTGCGAATTGAAAATGCACTTAATGGAAACGCGTCGATTTCGCAAAAACGCCCA